GGCCGCGCACGCTCCCGGCCGCCGGCATCCCCACGCTGCGCGGCCTGCGGGGGCGGGTCCCGTGGGACTGCACGACCCCGGTGCCTTTTCCGCTTCTCTTCTCTCCCGGCCCAGTCTCTCCGCGCCCCAGGCTCTGCTAACGCGGGGCACCTGCCTCCCTATCTCCCCCACCGTCCTCCCCTGAGCCTGGGAGTTGAAGGGGACTTTGAGGAGGTGTGGCATCACGCTCCCAAAGAAGTCTCCTAGTTAGGGAACTTTAAAGAAGAAACAAGCAAACTCCGTGATCTCTCTGGTTATAATGGTTCTTCTGCAGTGCTTGAATTAAACATGAACACTCTTCAGCTGGAAATTCAAATCAACCTGACACTAAACAGCTACCATTTAGTGTACTCATGATGGTTTGGGGGGCCCTAAACTAAAGGCGTAATGAATATTCATTAAGCCTTGTTTACATTCCTGGAGCCCTCCGTATCAATTCGATATTTTAAAAATTATGTATTTTATTTATTCATTTATTTTAACTTGACCAGATAGAGACACAGAGAGAGAGGGAAAGTGAGAAAGCAAATTCACCAGGTCCTGGACTGGAACCCCGTGGTTGGCCATGTGGGAGTGTCCAGAGCCTTAACCACACCACCTTCTGGCCCCTCAGATATTCAAATACTTCCTGTAATCCTAGCACTAACTCAAGGTAAGTGTTACATAGTCATTTTACTGCTGAGGAAACAGAGGCACAGAAAAGTTTTTTTTTCTATGGTCCCATAATGGCAGTGGAGAAAGGATTTGAGCCCTGGCAGAATGGTTTAAGAATCGACCTTCCCACCCAGGAAACCCTCCCCGGTGCCTGTGGCTCACTGATGCTCCAAAAAAGGTGAGCAAATTATGTTGTTAGGTAATATAGTTGTTTTGGTTAATCTATTTCATAAATCTTGAAATGGTCAATTTGTCATTTCTCTAGGAAGTTGAGAAATAGCTCTCTAATGTGATCACACCCTTCCTTCATGGTTCCACATCCTTTGCACCCTGCCTAAATACAACAAGGAAGCCTCGGTAATAGAGTTCTCGGTAAATTTAGTAAACGTTGAATACATACTACAAAGTGATTTGGAAGCCGGTCAGAACATAGACTCACAAAATGAAACAGTGGCCACCATGGTGGTATATGATGCTATTGTCCTCATGCTGGTGTCACATGGGTGACCAAGTTACCATTGCCCTTTCTAACCTAAAGGCCTGGCTTTAATGGTGTGTGCTGGCAATCCCAGACCCTGGGGAGGCTAAGGCAGGATGCTCATGAGCTCAAGGTTGGCCTGGCTGCAGCAAGACCCTGTGAAAAAGAACTGGGGCCAACACATTGACATCTGGGTAGCATCATTGCTTAGGAGGCTGGGAGCCCTGTGGCAGGTGTGAGTCTCATTCCCAGGTCAACCTGAACATGCCTGGATGGCTGTGCATGCTTACAATCCTAGCTAATGTGGGGGCTAGGGCAGGAGAATCATGACACAGTATCGTTTTTGTTTTTGCTTTTTGAGAGGTTTTTGCTATAGGGGCCTTTGCTTGCCAGAAAGACAGTCAGAAAGTGAGAAATCACCCCCAGGGGGGGATGACCACCCAGCAGTCCTTTCTCCTCCATTCTCCTCTCAGGTTCTTGGGCACACACGCACATGCACCCAGTGTGAGTTTAAGCCACCAGGTCCTGGATTCAAACTGTGGTCGACTACATGGGAGTCTAGCGACATAGCCATTATGTCAACTGTTGGTCCCCACAGTGTATCTTTTTTAGAAAAAGAAACAGATGCTTAAGAATAAGTAATTTGTCACCAATGTTTTCTGAATAAAGTTGTTGGGGGAAAAGAAGAGTATTTTGGAAGACTGAACAGACTTCATAAAACTGTTAGCGGAAATACAACTTTAGTGTATGGAGTAAACATTTCAAATAACATACGTTATTTAATTGATACACCAGATATTTGGAATGTTTAATGCATTTGCATACATTTGATAGTGTGGTAGTTTCTGGTGTCCTTCCAAATACATAAGATTGAAGAGTCTGTAGCCAGGAGACTCTAGAGAAGCACATGTTTTCTTGCGAAAGGGACTTTGTGTTTTCATCTTCCTTTGGTCAGGGTGGTTGCTCACAATTTGGAAGTAGATGTTTCTAAATGTTCTATGGAGTTCTAAGAACTGAATCTAACCAGAAAGAGTGAGAACCGATGATCACTAGATAACCCTCGGCAAAATGATGCTCTTCTCTGTCATGTCACACGTCATGAGCGCTGTTCACATTTGGATGATATGGGACCTTTAAAAAGTTCGTGGAAAATGTATATCATGAAAAAAAGTGCATAGGTTTCAAAAACATTTTTGCACTGAAATAAACTCATACTTTCACACCCTCCCCCCACACACACACACACAAAGATCAAGTAATTTGAGGCCAGCTCTGTAATCTTATGGTTAAAAGAACCAGACCCTAGGTAGTTGACAAGTGTGGTTCAAATTCTGGCCCCAGTGGCTTGAAAAACATGATGGGCACATGCGCATGCATGCATGGCCAAAATCCTAACAGAACAGAAAAATGGAAGAGAAGGGATTGTGGTATAACGACATCCCATTGGGGTGTGTGCTTTCTCCTTCTTCCTTTCTGACTCTCTGTTTCTCTCCGGTGAGCACACGCACCCTCTGCCATTTTTTTTTTTTTTTTAAACAGTAAGTGGTTCATTTGCAAAGGTGGTACTGTTGTCCTCAATTCAGTTATACTGCTGTTTCTTCATTTGTGTACCTGGACTTCCTACATCAAAATCGCTTGTCAGCACTTGTTAAAATATTTCTGGGCCTAAGCCCAGAACTCCTGAATCAGAATCTTAGAGTAGAACCCCCAAATCAGCATTTTATATAACACCTTCCAGGAGCCTCTCAGTGCTCACATGGCCTAGAGACCACTGACCCACCAGTCTGCCGAGGTCATTAGGTTTTGGTTTCTCAGAAAGCAAACAATTACACAATGCCAAAGGCCACAATTGGCTCTCCTTCAAAAGCTCACCTTCAAAACTATACTCTGATTGGCCACATCCCATAGCAAATCAGTGAGCTTAAAATCCCTCAGATTTGCATATTCGGCACCTCATGATTGGTCCACAAAAGCAACCAATCATAACCCACCTTTTACAATCCTATATTTAACCAATCACTGCCCATCAACATGTATGTAACCACAATCCCTGGCCCACAATCCCCAGATGACCCTGAAGAGTTGTAACACCGCCTTGTCTCTGGACGACCCTGAAGAGTTGTGACACCGCATCATCTCTGGACGACCCTAAAGAGCTGTATGTAACACTGCACCCATTCGTCCCGTCTCTCACTCCTTCCCTCAGGAAACCTGTTCGACTGACCCACATGGTAGAACTCCCTAGTTAGTTGGCATTATACACTTCCTTTTTAGGAAACGTGAGGGTGAAGGGGCAATGAATGGATTTCTACATTCTAAATTTATTTTATAGCCTTTTATTTTATAAAGAGTTCCAACTTTTTAAGCCTATAGGATTTAGAAATGTAGAAATCCATTCATTGCCCCTTCACCCCCACATTTCCTAAAAAGGAAGTGTATAATGCCAACTAACTGGGGAGTCCTACCATGTGGGTCAGTCGAACACGTTGGGGGGAAGTCATAGAAAGCAACCATGGATACCAGAGACAATGTGGGAGGAGGATGGGACATGGCAGAGGGTGAGGGATAGGGAATCAAGGATGGCAAAACGAAAAACAAGGTATACAAGACACAAGAATTGGAAAATTATTTGCTGATAACATGTAGATGTGCTTGATTGAGCCAATATGCAGTGTATTTTGGATGGAAAATTCATCTGTATGTTGTAATGATGTATAGTGAATTAATGTAAAAAATAAATAAATTTAAAGAGAAAATAAAGACATAAAAGTAAAAGGGCCAGCAGATGACAAAAAATGCTGAACTCTCATATGGCCGACTGTGGTTTGAGTCCTGGACCTGGGTGGCTTGAAAATCATGCAGGGCGCATATGGGTGTGTGC